AAAAATTTGCCTCAGATTGCACAACATCTGCAAATCCTGCAACAGGATTGTCACCATCTTTGCCGGGGTGCAGATGACCTTGGGTGACCATGATTCCTGTATTTTGAAGAACAAGCGAAAAGACAGTTGCGCTGTATTGCATGCGTAATCTTGGCTCTTACAAAAGATTTTTATGTTGGTATATGACCTAGTTTTATATCATATAGTGGTATTATTGGTGTTATTATTGAGGTCACACAACCTATTAGACTACGTTTTCTTCCACACTTTTATTAAGAAACCACAAAAGTATTTGAGCCAAACTGAAGTGTGAAGCCAATAATCTTTTTGAGGCACCCTGTTGGCGTTCTGCAATATAAATTAAAGGTAACCTTTCAGAAGCCCATTTTATATTTTACCTGTTTCCAATCACGGCAGTCAATTAAAAAAATGAAAACAGTATTGGTAATTCCACGCAACTTCCATTCAGATACATGTAATACACGGTGTATTCTTTGCAGAGTAACTACAGCAATCCCCGCTATAGTTGATCTCATCCCAAGATATACCAGGCAAGATATGGGACGGAGGGGTACCCCCCTTACCTGTCCAATCCCTATACACACTGTAGACTACTGTTACCTAACACATCCCTCCCAGAAGTGTAAAGAATTCCTGAGATTCCGATCAAACAATGACCAACACAAAGGTTCTCTCCGTCCCATATCTTGCTTCAAACATGCTTCAAATGTCCCAATAACTTTCTTGAGTGGAAACAATCTGGCAGTCAATGTCACAAGGCTCTCCAGTAGACATTCATCACCCACGTCCTTCTTTAAACAACACAAAATGACTTTGACCTGAAAGGGATTATTCTAGCCACGGAATTGGTCGGTATTTGTAAGTAGACGGAGATTAAAAGTAACAAAGCGCAAGGAGCTTCAAGAAGTGAGAGACTCTGCTCCAGCACAAGGTCGCGCTTATTAATTGACAGTAGGCGGGCCCACTTGCTGCCCAGCCCAGCTTTGGACGTACGCGTCAGATGGTGGACTCTGAGGCGACGAGTCCAAATATATTTTTGAATATACCGGAAATACCACATACATCTCACGACGTGAGCTCATTGTCATTATCGTACAAGTCGTGTACGAGGTTTTCCAGACTTGCAGGGGGTTTCTGTAGAAGTCCGGACCCAGCCCTGTTTGCGAAAGAGCCTGTTTTTCTTACTTAGCTTTCTTGTGGAACAACCGAACCGTTCGCCTCGTGACTATAGAGATGATCTTTTCTCTCAAAATTACATGAAAGTGATTTTCTTCAGTTTCTATGAATGTCCAGGGCATATGCAGTTGATCACTTGCAAATTATATTATTAATGGAAAATAATCACGAACGAATAACAGTCTATATCAATTTGGCAAAGGTATATTGGCAGTTGGTGTTTTTGTGCTAAATATACACCTATGTCACGTGATGGTATTTTCGGACAACATGAACCGACGTCCTAGTCCGTTGAGCTCAATAACTATACAGGTTTTAACCGAGCTATGAGGGACCTCGTTGGAAAATCCCTATTGCTTGATTATTGGAATTATTTTTGCTTGAAGACAGATGATCACAGCCCTAAGAGTTTGCCTCTGCCTTTTATGCAAAATTAGTTTGTCTCTCTAGAATTGAGTCATAAGAGTCATAAAATCACCAATAAAACAGTATCAATTTTCTCATGGAGATGTTTTTACCATTTATCGCAATGCATGCTCGTGCTGTTTGGCAGAACCAGAGAATCCAGTCTTTGATTAACAATAGTTATTGACGCTAGACTCTCTGAAATCGCACACACAAATTTAAAAATGAAAACTTGGATCGGTAGCATATTTTGAAATTGCCCAGTAAACAACTCAACCCCTACATGCATGAGCTTGATTTATTAGACTCGGGCTTTGTTGTTGTGCCTTCATGAAACACTCACCCACTTGCCTGCATGTCCTCGCGGGCACCAGAACGGAAACGCCTGCACCCATATTTCCACGTAAACACGTCTGTCCACACCCAGCTGTATACCCACGTATAAGCACCCTCAAACGGCACCAGATGGTCGACTCCGGCATTCTTGCCTATACATCAGCAACGAACAACCCTAAAATTGACCTAAAATACCCATTTGTCTGTCTCGGTTATTTATTCAGTAAAATGTTTCTTAACCTCTTTTTAAATTATTGGTCAACATGTTTCTACAGCTCTTTATAAACAAAACAAAGAAACAGAGGGAAAAAAGAACAGTAGCCGGTTATGAAGACTCCCAAATCCAAAACGTTTCAAAAAAAGAGAAAACAATCCCAGCATTTACGATTTAATAACAATAACAACAATAATAAATTTAAAACACGCCGTATCCGCCAAAAATTGGCGCCCATGACACCCATGTGTTAGGCCTAGTCTTAAATAGTAACCGGGCCAGTGATTCAAGCATTTTTTATTCCACAAAGTTTTCAAACACAAGAATTTCAGAAAAGATCTATGTCTCCCTAAAAGCTACGGAACAGTCAAACTGTACATAAAACGAGCAATCAGACATTGATCAATATAAATCATGTCATTACGTGTACGTTGCTTTCCACGACCACCGTTTCCTGTCTGAAATTTTCAGGATATCCCTACAGAGGTTATGAGATTTTATATTCCACTTCCACCACACTCAGAAGGAGCGGGTCTTTATTGTTCGCCTACCATCCGGGCCAGACAGTGTACAAAATACTATGTACTGGACTCGTATGCGCAACGACGTCAGTGTGGGGGAACTGATTTGCAACCGGGCCGGCAGACGGGGCTTTCCACCGAGGTCACGCGTTGCGCATGAGTGATCTTCGTATGCACTTGTTTATTGCACTCGATAGCGCCCGTGAGCGCTCACGAGCGCTCGTGAGCTCTCGTAAATGCTCGCGGGTACCCGCAAGCGCTCGTTACCGGCAGCAAATTTTACGAGCAGATACGAGGGTTTAGCCGAAACTTCGAGCGAGTACGAGTGCGAGGAGTACTTCAATTTAATCATTACTGTAAGTGGCCTGAGAGATCGAGAGTCAGGAGTTACCAGACACCGCAAACTCCAACAGTTCTTGCTATTTCTACATGCAGACGTAGGCCTGACACTTCCGTATGCACCATAAAATACATAGGCCTACTATTACGTGTGCATTTACATTTGTAAACTTCGCATGACAGCAGACCATATCCTAAAAGTAAATCACAATGTCACAAGAAAAGTTTTGGCCTATGTAGCTAGGCTTGCTAGCTGCCAGATGTGGAAAAAGTTACAACAATATTTAGCTTGTTGAATCATGGATGTAAATCAAAACAGATGCAAAAGAAAAATACTACCAGATGAAAAGCACCAAAGAGGGGGCCAACATACACATTACTTCTTTAAAAAAAGACCTGGGGTAACGTAATTAACATGATTATCTGGTGTTTTCCACCGCAAATAAAGATCAATGTCATGGCATGTCATGCCATTTTTTTTCAGGAATGAGGGCTTGCCCATGTCCAATTTGGCTCTAACTTTTATATCAACATCATCATTGATTGATTTTATAACATTCTGCGATTTTTAACAAACACGGGGCCTACCTGGTTTTTATCCAACCCCGACAAATCATGGAAGAAAATTAAAGAACACGACGCGAAATGTAGTCCTCGCTTGTCGAGCCTGACTTCTACATCGTGCGGTTGAGCGATATTTTTTTTCACATGTATGATGCCCCACGGACCGGACGTACATTACAATGTACATGTGCATGTACACCCAAACCGTACTTTCACATGCTTCGCGCTGGTCCCTGTGGCTTACGTCACACGAGAGCCCATTGGCTAAACTTTGGTTGCCTAGTAATTTACTTGTTCTCTTGTCCAATAGTAAATCAGTGTGCGGTCACGAGGTTCGAAGACAGCAGTTTCTTGGCTGCAGCTTGCCTTTGGATTCAAGACACCCGCTTCGCCGGTGGCTTGCACATGCGTTGTTTCCAGCCGTCAACGAACTTGGTTTTATTTATACTCATGGCTCTGCTTAAACTGGTTCCCGTTCCCTCTGTTGTCTCATGACGTGTACATGTACGTCTGACTGCGACGGAGGTGAGCAACATCTGCGTGTCAGACTATGATTTGATCCGACAAAGGACTCAGGTTTCAGGCAAATTCATACGTGTACATATAGTGTATTATACATGTACACTGTACATGGGGTGCGGGTGCGGCGTTAGCAAAACACGCTGGCACGGTTCCAGGATTTAAAACTCTACACATGCATAAATAAATCTTGTTAGTGAAACACTCATGCTTTAATAAACTTACACACATAACCTTTTTTCTTTATATTTTATTTCAAATGACGACAGGACACACTCTCCAAGAATTTTCCCCCCAAAAAATTAGGGTCCGGCCGTCCAAAATAGGGTCGGTCGTGAAACGGGAAACACAAGTATTTTTTTTTTTGGCCTAATCCCACGATCCTCATATTAATGGGAATTGACTGAATCCTTTTGAATGTTACAAATACTGATAGAAAATTGAGTATCAGACAAAAACAAACAAACAAAACAAAAAGAATGAAAATATTAACCTTGGCAATTCCAGCTTTATGCGCTCCCATAGACTCCATGTGTGCAATGTAGGCTGAAAAGTCTTTCATTTCTTCCAGGTCTGGGCGAAACACCATGATTTTTGGTGCTGATGAATTATGTGAAGGTGGAGCCATGGTCGTTGCTTGATGGCTCTGAAAACAAAAAGACAAACTCAGCCAGATCTGTACACATGCTCTTATTTAAGAAATTTACAGCATGAACATGCAAACATAAGCAGCTTCATTAAATATTGTCCTAGCTTTAATCATTTCAATGACGTTTACATACTGTATAAACACAACATTTCTTGTGTTCCTGAGTTACACCCAAATGCCGAAGATTGGTTACTGATCCTTCCACTGTCATTCTTGCAATTTAGCTTAGGAAACCAGTGTAACAATTGTTTTGTCATGTTTCTGAATTCTAATTAACATGTTTGCATATAAAACTGCAACTTGGAAAGTCCTTGCTGTGGAGAAATCACATGCAGCACGCATGAAATTGGTTCCGCCATCACGCTGCGCTGCTGAAAGATACACTTTAGACGGCCTGTAAACCAGACTCATGCACAGCATTAATCTGTATAGGGCAAGCTACACATACATGTACACATGTACATGTACAGTAGGTCAATATCTTCACGGCATTGAAAATACTACTTATCGACACAGGTCTGTGGAAAAGTTGGCAGACTACAGTGTTCTTTATCGTAGGCGGCACCTGATGCAAGCGCGCAGCGCAAAGCCCCAGAAAATTTTGGATTCTAGAAGCTCTGTGGTAAAATCTGAGGTATTTCCCGGGCACTTCCTTTAAACTCCTTGAATCAAATTTGCTCGTGTTGAAATGTAGGCACTATTGCTATCAGGAGGTCATCAACAGTTGATTTTATTTCGGGGCAATTTTCTTTTTTACTGATCAGGACTCGCCATCAAGCGGATGGTTCGGGATTACATGTACACCTACAGTACGTTGCATTTGAAAGTTAACACTGCGAAATGGAATGGGAAAAAAAGCAAAATGAATTCGCATTCGCATTTTGACCACAACTTTTTCCCCCTGCGAATTCCAACGAAAAGGATGCGAAAGGGGCGAATGACGTGTGAAAATAGTGCAAAAATCGTGCGAATCTTTTGTAAACACAGCGTGAGACATTTACCAAAAAACATTGAGAAAAAAAGAGTGTGCGAAAACAGTGTGAAAATTTTGCGAAAGCAGTGCGAAAGAATCCGAAAATCATGCAGAAACTTGCGAAAACGAGAAGCATTGTGCAGCGAAAATATTCCACACTTGCCAAACGCACATGACTATTATGCAGTGAAGAGTCCATTACGCAGACTGCACTGTGCTTGGGGCCGGTCGGGGCCAACTCACCACGTGGATGTGTGCTGTTGTAGTCTAGTAAAGATTTCCTCAGCCGAGCCGTCCGATCAATGCAGCGCGATCGTGGGGATGTGCTCACCACGGCGGGCACATGGCGCAGTTGTTTTCTTGGATTACCATGAAAAAATACTCGTCAATGTCGGAGAATAAATGTTTAAAAAGTTTTCTGGATGTTGGGTGATTAAACGGGAGCCCCTGAGTCACGAAGTCACGAAGCACCTGAAATATATGTATTACAACAAACTTAACTTGCTCTCCTGTGGCGACATGGTTTATTTGCCCACTTTTTATTTATTATCATGGTGTAATTTGGCACACAAAAAAAATCAACAATGAAATACTACATGTAGTATTTTGTTACCGAAAGGTTTCTTTTGATCGACAAATAAAAATCAACTGCTTAAATTGTTTGTGCATCTTCATGCAGCAAATCTCGTCTTTTCGCTGATTGTGTTTGGTGTGACATATTGGGTCTGTTTTCACTGGGGTTTCTGATAAACATGTTACTTTCTGTGGTCACATGGTTATTGGAAAAGTCAGCAATTGGAGTGTCCATGAATGGGCATGCAGTAGCAGTCAGGATGTCGCGGTAGGTGTAGATGCAGTTTGTGCTTCACGATGCAGTGCAGTATGTACGAGATCCCGTGGCGGTTTTTGAAGAGATTTGGTAGTATTTTTTGATCGGCGTCACGAAAACGTCGAGATAACCAGATACAAGGCATTTATTCCGAAATCACGGTACATGGATCTGCCAATATATGTAAACGTATTTCACATACATGTACATGACAACATGTTGATAAATGTACATGTGCACATACGCGGTGCACATGTTGAGCATCCATCCAACTTCCAAGTGGGTTAATTTAAATGCCAGCTTGGATTTCGCCTGTCGCATTGTATTTTGCTCAAAACCAAGAAAAATACTGTGTTGAAATTTTAATGCTGTCTTTCTCAAGTACAGTCGACTCTCGTTAATACGACGGCCTTGGGACTTTCTAAATTAGCTCGTATTATCCGGACCTCGTCTTACACAAAAGCTGCAGTCCGGCTTGTCACATGTGTAACTGATTGACTGCACCGTTAAGCGTACATCATGTAGAACTTCCTGTACATACATGTACATGTAGGCCTACATGTACATTGTATGCGCGTACGTGTGGTTTGGAATTTAATTTCAAAACAGTTTATGATTATGAAAGTGAGAACTGTACTTTTTATGAATGAAGACTTGAAATAAAGAATAACACAATACAAGAACGGAGAAACTGGTCAAGTCGGGTTGGAGGATGCATGGTTGGAGCTATTTACATCCCCAGCACGCCGCAATGAGATCGGCATACAACGCACGCACCTAAGAACATTAACATTTTAGGTGGTAACCAACATCAATGCTGCGCTTGTTGCACAAAAAGGGCGGGAACTAGTTATTGGTGGTGTGGATCAGCCAGTAGAGGGCTTCACTTGGTGAATGATAACCGCAGCGCTTTACTGCTGTACACAATCATGTACGGAAGAGCCTTTCCGAATTCAATGGATTGACTGATTGACAAGTTGCCTTAAAAAATGCTTGTGCTAATTAGACGGATAACAATGCATTTGCACACAGCTGGGGCCCCAAAATACTCGTCTTAAACGCGTAACACGCGAGCTCGTATTATTGATTTTTTTCCTCATAGGAATGTGCATAATTCAGTCGGGACTGGCAAATATACTCGTCTTAACCGGAGTCTCGTCTTACCCGAGCTCGTATTACCGCGAGTCAACTGTAATCTGAATATTCCTGAGAATTGAAGAACTTTCTCTCAGACTGATTTTCTTACACTTTCCATACTCAGAGATGTGCATGTTTGAAACCACAGAGAACAAAAACTTCTTGATATCTACATGTACATGCACAAATACTACTTAATGAAGAAAGCTTGCAAAATTATTTCCCCACTACCAAAGAAAATCTCTTCCCACTTGTGGGAAAATCTGTGAAAATCTTTTCCCACTTGTGAGAAAATGTGTGAAAATTTTTTTCCCATTTGTGAGAAAAAGCATGAAAATCTTTTCCCACTTGGGGTAAAATCTGTGAAAATACTTTCCCACTTTTGTGAGCAGGTGTGAAATTATTTTCCCACTTTTGGCACACTTTTTCAAAATTTGTGAAAAGAAGAGGAACTCTCTGGGAAGAGAAAAAATGCAAAAAATTTTTCCCATTTTGGTGTTAACTTCCGATCGCAATGTACTGTGCGTTGGTGCAGCACGCGTGGATGATGCACAGTTGCTTTCTTAATTCCAGATCTGAAAAATAACTCCATGGTCAGATTCCAGCGACAAAATCCTTTAGTTCCGGTGAAATACGGTCATTCATCCACCTCAAGTATTGGAAAAGCTATAAAATTACTTTTAAGATCTAAGCTTTTAATCTGGACTTAAGGGATCATCAGAAGTGACAACACTTCTACCAGTAGTTCTGAGTCACTTTAACTGGTTCAGAATAGCAACAATTTTATCTCGTAAAAAAGTCAGCCAGAGCCACTGTAGCAAGCTGCTTTTCTAATAAATAACTCCTTGATTTTAAGAAAATCGGTTCATGAATAACAATTTCTGTTAATTAACAAGTGAAACTTGTGTAAGTTTTGACTCGAGTTTTTCACCTGTACTTCGAGCAATCAGCGACTACATGTGTATGACGGCCCCTGCGCTGCACAGTCCACGAATCCATTACATGTACGTCACACATATGTACATTTCTGTCATGCCGGTGTAGTTGAGTACGCCAACGCACTCTATGTGTGTGCACTTGTGGTGTAATCCACAACTATGAAAAACATGCAGTGTTCTCCACGGGCTGTTTTAATAGCAGGGCGGACTCTCTGCCAAAATTTTGGGCCGCCCTGCTAAAATTTGTGCCGCCCTGGTATTTTTTTGAGTAGTGTATTTTTCCCCAAATGTCTACTTTCTCAAGACTTTAATAAAAAGGAGGTTTACCCCAGCTTGTGGATCAAGTTTGAAATTACGGACGACGCTTATGATGTACTGACAATGACAAGGAACACCAAGAGTTGAGTGCAGCACGAGTCTATACGTGACGTCGCGTTATGTAAGGCATGTTGTTTTGGTGTAGACTGGTCCCTCTCCTCCCGTATAATGCATTTTCAAAATGTAGAAGCATCGAGAACCAGTTTATTAAAGTAGAAATTCCCTAACGCAAGAGGGCATATTTTTCGGAAACTAGGCTACATGTAGGTCCAAATAACTTGGCTACAGCCTGATGTTACGCCAAGTCTATGTAGAGAGGTCGCAGCCAGTTCCCAATTTGTTAACGTGTAATTTAAAGCCACAGCCCAATGAATGATTCGGATATCAGATCTCAGGTGATCGTTGGCTGCCTACCGTTAAATATGCATAGTCACCGCGTGTCCGGAAAACCATCGCGTATGTTTTGTACATGTACAC